ATTGGCAGAGAGCATGCATAGTTCCTTTGTATAAAGGCAAAGGGGATAAAAGAGAGTGCAAAAATTATAGGGGGATAAGTCTGTTGAGTGTACCTGGTAAAGTGTATGGTAGAGTTATAATTGAAAGAATTAAGAGTAAGACGGAGAATAGGATAGCAGATGAACAAGGAGGCTTTAGGAAAGGTAGGGGGTGTGTGGACCAGGTGTTTACAGTGAAACATATAAGTGAACAGTATTTAGATAAGGCTAAAGAGGTCTTTGTGGCATTTATGGATTTGGAAAAGGCGTATGACAGGGTGGATAGGGGGGCAATGTGGCAGATGTTGCAAGTGTATGGTGTAGGAGGTAGGTTACTGAAAGCAGTGAAGAGTTTTTACGAGGATAGTGAGGCTCAAGTTAGAGTATGTAGGAAAGAGGGAAATTTTTTCCCAGTAAAAGTAGGCCTTAGACAAGGATGTGTGATGTCACCGTGGTTGTTTAATATATTTATAGATGGGGTTGTAAGAGAAGTAAATGCGAGGGTCTTGGCAAGAGGCGTGGAGTTAAAAGATAAAGAATCACACACAAAGTGGGAGTTGTCACAGCTGCTCTTTGCCGATGACACTGTGCTCTTGGGAGATTCTGAAGAGAAGTTGCAGAGATTGGTGGATGAATTTGGTAGGGTGTGCAAAAGAAGAAAATTAAAGGTGAATACAGGAAAGAGTAAGGTTATGAGGATAACAAAAAGATTAGGTGATGAAAGATTGAATATCAGATTGGAGGGAGAGAGTATGGAGGAGGTGAACGTATTCAGATATTTGGGAGTGGACGTGTCAGCGGATGGGTCTATGAAAGATGAGGTGAATCATAGAATTGATGAGGGAAAAAGAGTGAGTGGTGCACTTAGGAGTCTGTGGAGACAAAGAACTTTGTCCTTGGAGGCAAAGAGGGGAATGTATGAGAGTATAGTTTTACCAACGCTCTTATATGGGTGTGAAGCGTGGGTGATGAATGTTGCAGCGAGGAGAAGGCTGGAGGCAGTGGAGATGTCATGTCTGAGGGCAATGTGTGGTGTGAATATAATGCAGAGAATTCGTAGTTTGGAAGTTAGGAGGAGGTGCGGGATTACCAAAACTGTTGTCCAGAGGGCTGAGGAAGGGTTGTTGAGGTGGTTCGGACATGTAGAGAGAATGGAGCGAAACAGAATGACTTCAAGAGTGTATCAGTCTGTAGTGGAAGGAAGGCGGGGTAGGGGTCGGCCTAGGAAGGGTTGGAGGGAGGGGGTAAAGGAGGTTTTGTGTGCGAGGGGCTTGGACTTCCAGCAGGCATGCGTGAGCGTGTTTGATAGGAGTGAATGGAGACAAATGGTTTTTAATACTTGACGTGCTGTTGGAGTGTGAGCAAAGTAACATTTATGAAGGGATTCAGGGAAACCGGCAGGCCGGACTTGAGTCCTGGAGATGGGAAGTACAGTGCCTGCACTCTGAAGGAGGGGTGTTAATGTTGCAGTTTAAAAACTGTAGTGTAAAGCACCCTTCTGGCAAGACAGTGATGGAGTGAATGATGGTGAAAGTTTTTCTTTTTCGGGCCACCCTGCCTTGGTGGGAATCGGCCGGTATGATAATAAAAAATAATAAAATATATATATATATATATATATATATATATATATATATATATATATATATTATATATATATATATATATATATATATATCTCCTGAATTTACATATTTCATGAAAGAGCCACACTTGATTACTGCACCATACACCAGGGAAGTCTTGATTCTTCATGCTGTGAACAAAGCAGTAGGAAAAATAAGAACATAAGAAAGGAGGAACACTGCAGGAGGCCTGTTGGCCCATACTAGGCAGGTCCTTTACAATTCATCCCACTAACATACATTGCAACAATAATGAGAGAGTTGAAAATTCCAGAGGTGCAGCAAACTCAAGTATCTGGAATGACAGAGCACATTCAGCTGATATTTGTTTGAGCATTACTTACACGAGCCCTCCAGACACGAGACAGATTACTACTTATGCACCGTCTTATCAACTAATCAGGCACAATTAAGCAATACTTTACTATTATTAACTGTTGATCTTTCTTACTGTGATGAATACACCAACTTGCAAGATGTTATCAGAAACAGTCTATCAACCAGGTGGCCCTGGTCATAAATACAGTGGACCCTTGGTTTTCGTCGATCTTAGTTATCACCAATTTCGGTTTTGGCCGGCTTTTTTCATCGATTTTTGGCTTTAATTTTCATTGATTACCTCCGTTTTTGTCGATCGTATGGAACCTGTCTAGTCCCCAGCGTGCAGACAAAGCCGCCTCCCGCACGCATTCTCAGCCAGTGTAGCATTGTTTCTCGGTCAGTGAACATATCCTGCCAGGTCATACGAAACATTTCATAATGATCCATTGTTTTTGCCACTTGTTTATCGTGTGTGACTGCTAAATAAGTGACTATGGCCCCAAAGAAAGCTCCTGGTGCCAGTGCTTTGGTAATGAAAGTGAGGAACACCACAGAACTGAAAAAAGAAATCCTAAGAAAATATGTAGTGGAATACACATTACTGAACTCGGCAGGATGTATGGGAAGTCGCCATCAACAATCAGCTCCATTGTGACAGAGAAAAGAAATCATGAAAGCTGATGTTGCAAAAGGGGTGAATGCAATAACCAAACAGAGATCCCAAACAATTGAAGTAGAGAAATTGTTGTTGGTGTGGATCAGAGACAAAGAGTTAGCAGGAGATAGTGTTGTGCAGTCCATTATTTGTGAAAAGGCAAGGCAGCTGCATGAGGATCTCATAAAGAAATTGCCTGAAACAAGTGGTGATGAAAGTGAATTCCAGGCCAGCAAAGGCTGGTTCGAAAATTTCAAGAAGCGAAGTGACATACACAGTGTTGTAAGGCATGATGAGGGTGCCAGTTCAAACAAATAAGCGGCTGAAAAATTCGTGCGGGAATTCAAATGTTATGTAGAGTCTGAAAAATTCCAACCCCAAAAAGTGTTCAGTTGTGACGAAACAGGCCTCTTTTGGAAGAAAATGCCAAAGAGGACCTACATCATGCAGGAGGAAAAGGCACGCCCAGGACACAAGCCCATGAAAGACAGGCTAACTCTCTTGTTGTGTGGTAATGCTAGTGGGGATTTCAAAGTGAAGCCTTTACTGGTGTATCACTCTGAAAATCCCAGAGTGTTCAAGAAAAACAGTGTTGTCAAGAGTAAATTGTGTGTGATGTGGAAGGCAAACAGTAGGGCATGGGTCACAAGGGAAATTTTCCTGGAATGGTTTAATGAAGTGTTTGGCCCCAGTATGAAAAAATACCTCCTGGATAATAAATTGCCACTCCAGTGCCTCCTGTTAATGGACAATTCTCCTGCTCATCCTCCAGACTTGGAAGACCAATTGTCTAAGGAATTCAGTTTTGTAACAGTGAAGTTTTTGCTTCCTAACACCACTCTTCTCCAGCCCATGGACCAGCAGATCATTGCAAACTTCAAAAAACTGCACACCAAAGCAATGTTTCAAAGGTGTTTTGACATAACCTCGGGCTCTGAATTGACCCTAAGAGAGTTCTGGAAGAATCACTTCAATATCTTCCACTGCATAGGCCTTATTGATGAGGCTTGGTAGGGAGCGACTTCCAGGACAATGAACTCTGCTTGGATAAAATTGTGGCCAGATTGTGTCCAAAAGAAGGATTTCGAAGGGTTTGAGGCTGACCCTGTTGACCCTACACCTGTTGTGCAATCAATTCTGGCATTGGGGAATTCCATGGGGTTGGATGTGAGTTTGGAGGATGTGGAAGAGTTAGTGGAGGACCAAAATGAAGAGCTAACCACTGATGAGCTGCAAGAGCTTCATCTGCAACAGCAACAGACCACAGCTAAGGAAATTGCTTCAGAGGAGGAGGAAGAGAGATGGAAGAAGGTGCCTTCTTTAGAGATTAAGGAGATTTGTGCAATGTGGACTAAAGTGCATTCATTTGTAGAGGAACATCACCCTGAGAAAGCTGTTGCAATCTGTGCTGGTGACTTCTACAATGACAATGCTATGTCCTGTTCTAGGCAAATCTTAAGAGACACCAGAAACAGACCTATCTGGACAGATATTTTGTGCGACAGGGGTCCAGTGACTCTCAAACTCGTCCTAGCGACAGTAAAAAAAACAAAGGAGGGAAGTGACCCCAGATAAGGACTTGGTACCTAAATTCTCTATGGAGGGGGATTCCCCTCCCAAACAATAACCTATCTTCCCTCTCCCTTCCTCCCTGCCTTCCTTCCAGCAACAACAGCCTTCAATAAAGGTAAGTGTCATGTTTAATGTTCATTCTTTTGTGCACGTAAATGTATATTTAAGGTAAAAAAGAATTTTTTGTTGATACTTCTGGGTGTCTGGAACGGATTAATTCCATTTACATTACAGTGGACCCCCGCATAACGATCACCTCCGAATGCGACCAATTATGTAAGTGTATTTATGTAAGTGCGTTTGTACATGTATGTTTGGGGTCTGAAATGGACTAATCTACTTCACAATATTCCTTATGGGAACAAATTCGGTCAGTACTGGCACCTGAACATACTTCTGGAGTGAAAAAATATCGTTAACCGGGGGTCCACTGTATTTCTTATGGGGAAAATGGTTTCGGTTTTGGCTGATGGCTCTGGAATGGATTAAACATGAAAACCAAGGGTCCACTGTAACTGGAATGATAAACCTCAGAACCACTGTTATGTAAGAATAAGATATGGGGTATCCAGCACAAGTATTATTTATGTTCCACTTCCACGGGGAAGTGGAACATAATTCTTCCTCCATATACCATGCATGTCGTAAGAGGCGACTAAAATGCTGGGAGCAAGGGACTAGTAACTCCTTCTCCTGTATACATTACTAAATTTACAAAGAGAAACTTTTTTTTTTCTTTTTAGGTCACCCTGCCTTGGTGGGATATGGCTGGTTTGATGAAAAAAAAATATATTAAATAAAATATCATGTCTGACTAATGATTTATTTATCATTATAAGGCAAGCCTCACATTAATATATGACCTCAATCAAGAGATAGCTATATAATGATGCATTCACAACATTAGGTCATCTTAGTAATATTTTCAACTAATCAAGATTAAGGTCTCACATATATTAAAAGTTGAATTAATGTAAGCCACATTTCACATTTTTCATGTTTTTGACAAATCAACAAGTTCATATCAGTGGAATATAAATCGGTAGACTATCTTATTAATGCCAATATTAGGGGATCTAGGTGTTTATAATTTTGAGGTGAATCGAAAGAGGTGTAGGAAGTGTTAACAGAGTTGTTGGAAGATGGGTGCCACACATTCATTCTTGCTAAGCCCATATGGATCATGCAGTGCCCAGAAGAATGGAAGGCATTCAGATCTGATTCAAGGAATTGGAGCACAGGTCCAGTTCCTTAGATCACGAGCCCCTTCACCAGCATCAAGAAACCTCCCTTGAGGGAATCAAAAGGGGTGCCCATTCCCTTTAATCATACCTGATTACCTCTTTCTCTATCTTTGTATGATCCCTATGGATGTAGCACTTTCCAGTGAATATAATAATAATAATGATAAGTACTGACTTAAACATCCAGAAGATATATGAGCATGTTTGATCAAAATGAGTGAAAGCATGCTGGAATGTTATTCAGGTAAGACAGCTAGCTGGACTAGAGTTTTTAAGGCTGGTAAGTACAGTGCCTGCACTTTATGAAGTGGGAATGTTGAAGTTTCTTAGGTTAACATTAGACAGTGATGGTAGTAGATGGCAAAAGCTGGCAGAGAGACAATGAGAGACACATGACATTTCACCTGCTGTGCAACAAAACCTCAACAAGACCCCCCACAGTAGGTAAAATGTTAAATAATATTTTTTTACTATGTTCATGTCTTTGATCCACCATTAAAGAGATGTCTGTGGCCTTCTCAAAAATGCAGTTATTTTCTTTGGGTTACCCTGCCTAGATTAGAAATAGCTGATGTAATAAATAAAACCATCAATGGAACTGGATAATCAGAAGCCATATTACATTTTGATTAATATTACAGAATTACATCAATAACAAAGCATTTCAAGAATAATACAATGATATATTTCACAAATTTTGTGTGGTAAACTGTAAGAAACACATGTCAAAGAGGATTAATAATCCCTTACGTGCATACTTCATTATGCCACTATCAGACTTATGATACCTCATGAAAGATTCATGGACATTTTTAACTGAGGGAACAAAATGACCACAGTAACACTTCACAAGTGCACATGTACATTACTGTTGTTGTAACAATATACCATTATTATGAAACTACCTTTACACAGCAGGAATTATAATGTGACTTGCCATAACATGGACTGCCATTCTTCGATATGAATACGTTTTAAAACAACACTATTTGATGTAAAGAAGCATTATCTAAGGAAAGTAACAGTAGTTACAAAAAAATCATCATTCTTTAAATATTTTATATACACCTGACAAAATCAAGCTAGGTATATCCTTCGAGGAGCAAGTTCAAAACCAACTGAAATACCAATCACCTTCAGTCTCTATTATTATATCTACCAACATTAAATGCATGTACAGCAATTGGCCACAGACATCCTGGCAGACTATTAAAAAGTGAAGAGACTATGTATAATCCTATTGGTTAGCCTTTTCAGTTAACATCTACTCACAGCCCCACATGTTCATACACATTTTCTCAAATTTCACACTCCATTCAGTGAAAGGAATGCATTAATCAATATCATCATTTCTTTAAGAATTTTTAAATACATTTTCAGCATCATGTTTCATTTTTACATCCTTTTCACATGATTCTATGTGCATTAAGATAGTAAGAGCTTTACCCAATTTAAATCCAAAACTGGCTTTAGGAATATTCAGGAAATGGTTAAAAGTGTGGAGAAGCTATTATATGTGGCCAATCCTGAACACAGTAAGTCATAAAATATAGTGAGATACTTAGACATGATTCCTGTGCAATTTGTCCAACTTGAGCATGGTACTGAGTTAATTATTACAGAGAAAAAAAAACTTTTTAATTTATTTTTATATCCAGACCTAGCTTCATTTTAAGAATATGTGCAGGCACTTGTAATAATAATGAGCAACACCTATACTCCAGAAGAGAGGAAACAAAGACTGGATACAAGAATATTTTAAAATATAAATAGAGCTAATACATAAATAGTGTATCACATAACTTCTCTCACCTAAAAGGAATATATCATTACCAGAAAATGGACAACACACATTTTTTTAAGTAAACAAACTAAGTAATATTCTTTACAACAGAGTATCTTACCTATATTTTTCCATTATATTAGATCATATCAAATTTTTCAGATTGATCATTCCCAATTCTTCAGATATATCAAATCAAACTCAATTTTCCCAACAAATTAAATCATACCTAATTTCAGCACATATTCTCAAATCCAAACAAAATAAAATTCAAACAACTTTCATGTGCAAAAAATGCACAAAATAAAACTCTCTGTAAACACAACACTTACACTGTACTGCACTATACCAGAAAACTTTTTAATAAACTGTACCATATGTCACTAATTTATTACATCCATTCAGCATAGATGTTCACTGCAAAAAAGATCAATACCAACACAATAAAAAATTATAAGAGAAATTCATAAGCAACTATTTAATAAAAAGCTATGTCCTTGATGTTAGCATTGTTTATGTACATTAAAATAATTTGTTTAATATAAATCTGGGCAAAAATATATAGTACATACTTCACAAAGATACAGTACTGTATGTCTTATTTCTGGTCAAAAATACCTCAAATTTGACAGTTTATGATGCAGTATAATAGAACAGCTTAATAAAATTTTGATTTCACAATTGTGTTGGTCATCTTCAATGGAAAGAAAAAATGCTCAGGATTCCTGCATCTGGAGAAGGGAGTTGATGGCAGCTTCTTTGTTGCCCTGTGAGGCCTCCAGCACAGATTTCACAACCTCAGCATCCACACCAGGAAACATTTCACCAACCTGTCAATAAATAAACACATTACCAATATTAAAAGCAATTTAAGAGTACACAACAGAACTGCAAGTATTTTAAAGGTAAGAACCAGGGTTTAGTGATGCATCTCAGTTTAAAGATGAAACATTAACTTGTTTCTCAACAGTGGCAATCCTGTACTGTATTTGTTCCACTCTCGTGTCTGCCTTTTGGATAATTTAGCAGTGATGTACCTTACAGCTGGACTCAGATTTGTGATATGTTAGCTATTAGAATTCTAACAATTTAAAAATTATAAAAAAAATTTTCACAACTCAAAGAAATACTTCTTGAGTATATTTATAGTAAAAGATCAATCAATCATATATACATACAGCCTCTCCTCAATGACAGAGTTCCATTCCTAAGACCACGTCGGCAAACAAATTCGTTGCTAACCAAGGAGCATACTATAATGGTTGTGAGTTTGAGTCAGCCATCTTTGATATTGTTTCAATGTCACCTTTGCACCATTTATAACATTTTTAGTATAATTTTTAAATGTTTATATAGTGTACTGTATATTGTAATAAATAGAATTGAGGAAATCAGCTATAATATACATTATTTATGTATGCATACTAGTCAAAGTAGCCTGTCATAAGTCTGAGTCGTCATTAAACGAGTATGTCACTAAGTGAGGAGAGGCTGTACTAACAGGGGGAGGGAGGGGGTGTCTGACTTACTGAAAATTCTGTTATATTGAATGTTTCAATTATTATTATTATTATAAAAAAGAAGTGCTAACCCTACAAGGGACATACAGTGCAGCGAGGCAATGGATAGTGCAGGATCATAGAGTAGCAAGGGTAGAGAAGACAACAGGAGTTAGAAAGGGCTGTGAGGAGTGCTAGAGGAAGTATCATCAAAGTTTGTGTAGTAAATCAGTTGCTGTCAAAAAGTCAATGAGGGAGTCTTAGTCAAAGGTGGGTCTGTCAGCAAGGAGGGAATATAAAGTAGGATGCTAGAGCGGTGATGACGTTGGAGGTAAATTCTGCGTGCTCGTTGACAGACCAGACAGTTCAACAGAATATGGCTAACCGAAGCTAGAACCTGACAATTCTTGCTCATGAGATACCCATGAGTAAGATGGGTGTGCCTGATGTGAAGACGGGAGAGTGCATTCTCCCAACCTCGGCATCGATGATAAGAAGATGGCCAGAAACCTAAACTTAATTTGATACAATGTAATTTGTTTTGTATTATATCCGAGTATTGTTGCTAATGGTTACAAGGGTGGTTAGAAATTACAGCAAAACAGTCTTTGAATGGAACACCTCTATATGAAACTGAAAGGGCATGTACTTCTGACTGTGCAGCAGTGTCTGCTTGTTCATTGTCCTGTACGTCAACATGACTGGGGACTCAACAGAAAATATTGTTGTTTTTGATAGAGATGTAGCATAACCATAATTGTATATGAAGAACCAGGGAATGAGGTGAATCAAATTTTTATAGCTTGCAAAGCATAAGAGTCTGAGATTACCACAAATGGTGACACAGGCATAGATGAAATACAGATAACTGCTACAAAAAATTGATACAATTTAGCTGTAAAAATGCTAGCCGAGTCTAATAAATGCCCTCACACTACGCTGTCAAGAAACACTGATGCAAATCCGACACCACCAGGGGATTTATAACCATCAGTGTACACTGCGATGGCATGAGAATGTGACTGGAAGTGATTAAGAAAGAGAGAGCAAGAAGCAACTGTAGGCATTTTGGCTTTCACGCATGACAGTGGGGAAGAACAGACATGAACTGTCAGAACCTCCCAAGGGGGAAGGGAAAAGTTAGATGCTACATGAACACATAAAGGGGGCAACTGAAGAGAAGACAATAGTGAATGTAGAAGAAGAGAAAAGGGACGGAGTAAACAGGGGTGCCGAACAAGCAATGGACCTCTACTAACATCCGTAACTAACCTATATATGGAAGGATTGCGAAGGTCATGAGAGAGAAAAAAATAGCAGAGGCAATGAGTATCATGGTAATTGTTGAAGGATGGAATATTAGCCTTTGCATATAGGCTCTCTACAGGTGAAGAGCAAAAAGCACCCAGGCATAAATGTAATCCCTGGTGATGGGTGGGATCAAGATTAGAAAGAGTTGTAGGAGAGGCCACTGAATATATCTGGTCATCATAATCTAGTTTCGATAAATGGGGGGCTGAATGCAGTCGAAGAAGAGTTTGATAATCAGCTCCCCCCCCCATGAAAGATGAGCGAGGTTTTAAGGAGATTTAATCGGTCTCCAGGTGAACCAACGGTCAAACAAAAGACTGAGAAACACAGTTGACAGCATTCTGGAGAGAATCTGCAATGAGGCAATAGCACCTGCACAAGCTATAGTGAAGTCATCAACATAGTGATGACTAAATATTAGATGGAAGAACAGATGCCAGATCATTTATAGCAAGGAGAAAAAGTGTGGTGCTAAGGTCGGGGGAAAGCACATTATTAACCCGATCATGGAAATGCTTCTTGGATAAGAAGTTGTTAAAGAAAAATGGCAGATTGCCTCAGAGTCCTAAGGTCATGGAAGTAGACATTCCATAGACATTCTCTGCCCCCCCCCCCTCTCTCTCTCCTTTTTTTTTTTTTTTTTTTTTTACACAGGGGTTGACAAGGTTAGGTTAAGGATCCCTAACTTTATTGACAAGCTAAGAGCTGTTACCTACATATATCAGCTCATTTGAAAGCATTTTTATTGTTATGAAACATACAAGTAAGGAACAGGATGAAGTTGCAGCCATCTGTGGGCCAGCATTTTCATTTGATCAACTATCTCGTTGACATCATAATGCTGTACGAATGTGTTCCATACTCAAGTCGTCCTGGGGATAAATAATCTCTGATGAAGTGATATTCTGGAGAAGGGTACAGCCAGAGTGAATTTGCTGCTTTCTGCCCATCTTGTGGTATAGAAACTTGCTTCACACTGTCCTCGAAGTGGATCCAAGTGTGGTACTTTCACAATACTGGCCTTGTACATAACAGTAAGGCCACCCACATCCCTCCTGTGTTGAAGGCTCTGCTGAAATGACAGATCTATCCAGGATTGGTCCAGGCGAGAGACGAGATGTCTTGCTCTGTTCTCTACTCTGTCAAGCAGTCGCAGAGAAGGGGGGCAGGCGAACCAAAAAAATGGAGCAAACTCAAGGTGTGAGCGTACTTGTGCCTCATACAAAATCTTGCAACCCCTGCTGTCAAGCAGATGTGAGATACGGCGAAGTGCTGTAAGCTTCTTGGCTGCCTTGTTTGCAAGATTTACAACATGGTTTTTCATGGTCAGTTTGGAGTCGAATTTCACCCCAAGGATATCAACTTCTTCCCCAGGTGCCAACACCCTCCCATTCATCCTTATTACTGCACCGGCATTACCATCTTGGTGCCTAGAGATCATCATTTGTGTTTTCTCAGGTGCAAATGTTACTTGCCATCTATTTCCCCAAGCTGGTATAGCTCTTAGTTGGTGATTGATGTAGCTTAGAGCAGCTGGCATTTCTTCTTTTGGATAAGTGAATGTCAGTGTACAGTCGTCTGCATATGCATGGGATTCTGGGATGAGATGAAGAAGGTCATTGAAGTAAACATTCCATAACAATGGTCCCAGAACACTTCCTTGTGGAACACTTGCCCCAATAGGATGTCTTTCTGATTCTGTTCCATTGAAAACTACCCTTAGATTTCTACCATGAAGGTAATCACTGAGGAGACATAGTGTAGAGCCTGCAATTCCCAGAGCTTACAGTTTTGCTAAGAGGCCCTGGTGCCACACCCAGTTGAAAGCACCAGCAATGTCCAGTGCTACCACATAGCTGACTTTGGATTCATCCAGTGACTGGTGCCACTTAGTGGAGAGGTTTAACAATAGATCAGCAGCAGAGTAACCTTTCCTGAAGCCATACTGACAGTCACAAAGTCGTGTGGTAGTCAAAAAACTCTTGTCATTTGTCTTGAGATTATTGTCTCAAGGAGCTTGCCCTGATTGACAGGAGTGACACTGGTCTGTAGTTGTTGATTTCTGCTCTGCTCTTATTTTTGTGAACAGGGACTACAATTGCCTCTTTCCACAGAGAAGGCCATTTATACTGTACTAGGCAGTGCTGAAAGATGCAAATTAGAGGTGCTGCTAGCTGATCTGCACATCTCAGCAATCTTGGGATCAACTTGTCTGGGCTTGCTCTCTCTCTCTACTCTCTCTCTCTCTCTACTCTCTCTCTCTCTACTCTCTCTCTCTCTCTACTCTCTCTCTCTCTACTCTCTCTCTCTCTCTCTCTCTACTCTCTCTCTCTCTACTCTCTCTCTACTCTCTCTCTCTCTACTCTCTCTCTCTCTACTCTCTCTCTCTCTACTCTCTCTCTCTCTACTCTCTCTCTCTAATCTCTCTCTCTACTCTCTCTCTCTACTCTCTCTTTCTACTCTCTCTTTCTACTCTCTCTTTCTACTCTCTCTTTCTACTCTCTCTTTCTCTCTCTCTCTACTCTCTCCTCTCTCTACTCTCTCCTCTCTCTACTCTCTCTCTCTCACTCTCTCTACTCTCTCCTCTCTCTCTCTACTCTCTCCTCTCTCTCTCTACTCTCTCTCTCTACTCTCTCTCTACTCTCTCTCTACTCTCTCTCTCTACTCTCTCTCTCTACTCTCTCTCTCTACTCTCTCCCTCTACTCTCTCTCTCTACTCTCTCCCTCTACCCTCTCTCTCTCTCTCTCTCTTTCTCTCTCTACCTCTCTCTCTCTCTCTCCAGCTGTCAGATATCTGAACCCTCAGCAGCATCTCTGGTAGTTCCCTGCTCGTACTGGGAAGGACCACCATTCAGTCTGAGGTTCAGGGAAAGACACAATCAGCAAAGTTCTCAGTGGCCAATAACATTATCTTCCCTGGCAATTTTGTTCTTGCTCTGAAGACTATGGCAGACCAAGATTTGTCTTGATCCAGCTGATTGGAAAGCAAATTTTGATGGTGTCGATGTATACCATTCTGG